GTTTTTTAATACAATTGACCCCTGTGACCTTGAATATAATTGAAGGTCATTCATTTGAACAAACTTGGTAGCCCTTCACCCAAGCATGCTACTGGCCAAATATCATCTCCCTGGGCATTTTGGTTATTGAGAAGAAGATGTTTAAAGTTTTTGACATATTTGACCCCTGTGACCTTGAAAATAGGTGAAGGTCATTTATTTGAACAAACTTTGTAGCCCTTCATACAAGTTTGCTTCTGGCCAAATATTGACACCCTAGGCCTTTCGGTTATTAAGAAGAAGTCGTTTAAAGTAAAATATTGACGCCGGACTTTGTGCCAGGTGAGCTAATAAAACTGATTATGTTGCCTTTTTTCTTACTGATCTGTGATGATTATTAAATTAATAAAAATGTATTATGTGATGATGATTGATTGTAAAAAAAATCACTATCTTTAATAATATTGTTATTGGACATTCAGATATTTCTTCTTATCAATTCAGTTAAACCCATAGGTCCAAATTAAATGAAGAAGATTTTGTTCTAGTATACAATATATGGGATATTATGCCTCTCACTCAGACCATTTCCATATGTTATCCTGATGTTTAATATTAATATTTCTCACAAACAACATTATCAATTTATAATTATAAGTTATTTAAATCAAATTCTGCCACAAGTGTAGATTGAACGGATATGTAGTGGAACTAGATCTGGGTCAGCTGATGGCAACCAGCTGGTAGCTCAATTGGTTAGAGCATAGGTCTAGAGTTTGGAGGGTCCCGGGTCTGAATCCTGATCTGGCTATACATTTTTCCTCTCCTGTTACAGTGGTGACCAACCCTTGTTTTGAGTAATTGGTGAATGCTTGGCAGGGGTATACATATGTACCAAGACCTGGGTTGTAAATAGTGTTGCCTTTGGGGTAAATACTTGGGTAAAGGAGGGAATAGTTTAACAAAACTGGACTTGTCAACCACTGATGATAAGGTAGCTTTCGAATCTTGGTGTGGCTGTGCCTTTCTCTTTGGTCTGTTATATTTGGTGGCAAACAAATATATGCAATGTACCTGCGGTAGGTGGTACAATGTTTATATATATATGGGTCTGTCTTTGGTGTCCAAAGCTTTGTTAAAGGAGAGAGGAATGTACATGTACTAAATGTACATTGTACGTAGTGGAACTGGACTGGGTTGCAATTGGTCCCCATTAACCAGGAAGCTCTATTGGTTAGAGTGTCTGCCTAGAGTACCAGCATGTAGAGTTACCAGTGTCCTGGGATCAAATCTCTGTCTGGCAAGGTATTTTACCTCTCCGCAGACTCCTGTTACAGATTATTTTGACATTGTGTAAATTTGTGTTACATACGCATACATAAACTTAATCATTGAACAGCTTTGTTCATGAAAATAAAGTAAAACAAAGATATAATTAAATTTTACAGAATGATACTGCATTCCCGTTTGCACGTACATGTACCTAGCCTTCTAAAATTACATCAAATTTTGATAGAGAATATCAATATAATGTACAGGTGAAGTAGGGAACTCATTTAACTGTCCATGCTCTTCAAACAAATAAAAGTCATCTATGAAGAATCTTACCCTGATATTCCAATAACCAGCTTTTCTATGTGATCTCCTGACATCGGCTTTTTGTTCTTTTATCCCTAATAAACACAGTTTATTCTTCTCGAATACGAATTCTAGAATGCTGCAGGTGAATTCAGGGTTATCTAGATAATTTCTTCACAAAATATGTTCAAGTAAAGTGTTAGTCTGTATATTATCAGAAGAATATTTGTAAGTCTCTTATTGATTATTCTTTAAGTCTACTGTGCTGTCTTCATCTGTGTCCGAGCTACTATTTTCTCCGTTTTGGTATGCGGACTGTGGGGGGAGGGACGAAGGATTAATGTTAATTCTATTTAGAAAAGCACCAAGAAGACGTTTGTTTAGATGGTCTGTTTGAGTTATTTCCCGTTCTGGTGTTTCCTCTGTCTCATCTGTGTCTTTCTCGTCAATAGATGCGTTTTGCAAGTCGTTTTTCAATTCGGTAACTTCCTCTTGGTCCTTTTGTGGTCCATTGTCGGCCATATTGGTTAAAGTAATGTAAAATTAACAATTGAAAAAATAAGTGGAACGCATTCAAAGTATATTTCCATTGAACTTAAGGTCCTTTATAGAAAACATAAGCATGTATTTTCTGTTTTAATTTTTTAATTTGTATGAATCATAGACGAAAATAAATTACGTAATTGACACAGCAATTTTAGGAGACATTCGTTTAAATCTAAATTTAGGATTATTTCATACCACCGGAAGTTGCATATTGCAGCCGAATTACAACAAACCGAGAAATTTGGAAATTTGCGAGTCCATGTAAGCCTATATAAAAGTCAATGTAAAGTCGACGATATTGTCATATTGGGAAAAGAACCGTTCGCAAACAGGCTCTGTAAGTGCATGTTAAGTTACCTTATTACTTTTATACACCAGCTGTACACACCCGTACTTCAGTGTCACTGAGTGAGTGTGTTAGACATTTAACAAAATCTGCTTGCGGTTTTCTATGTGCTGTCTGTGTCGATATGTCGGGTCAACTTTTCAAGTTCGCTACGAATGCCTAAAACAGCTGCTGTACTGATCTGGGATCGTATGCTGCATAACCGAACTACTCGGTAGTGAAGCGGACGAAAAACCACTCTTAACAAAAAGACATACTGATAACAGTTATATGAGTCGAAGCACGTCTAACCACAGGTGCTCAATCGGGTTCTGGAATATATGTGATGTATTATCGCACCCACTAGATATAGCACCCCTTATACTAATAAATCATATGATTTATTATTATAAGGATGTGCGATATCTAGTGGGTGCAATGATTTATTAGTACTCGCAGTATATCATCAGGTTTGGCACAACGGTGCATATGGGTAATAATCCTGCATTTGGGTAACAGTTACCCATTTGCAGTAACAATTTTATTACTGAGATGGGGAATTAAGTAAAATAAAAACACAAAGTTTTTTCAAATTCTTTGAGTAAAAAGGGCGTTATTCTTTTAACTAAATCCAATATATAACACAATGAAGTACATTTGTTCACAAAATGTTATCAATTCTGATGTCAAACATTTTGTAAAAATGACAAACCATATCACTGACTTTGCTCTCCATTGACCTCAGTGTGTAGTCAATGGGATCATCCAGTGCAAATGTGACAGGTGAACATGAATTTTTTTCTCTGTGCTATTTATATAAGCAATGGAGGTGATACAATTTGTCATTTTCACAAAGATTCAGATAACTGAATTAACACATTTTTGTGCACAATTGTAACTCATTGTATTTATTATTGGATTATGTTGAAAGAATGACACCCTTTTTTGCTCTAGGTAAGAACTACTTGTTTTTATTTCACTTTATTCCCCATCTCTGACAGTAATAAATTGTTTTATGTGTTAACAAATTTTATTATATATATAAATAAACATATTTAAATGGATAATATAACAGGCTAGGCCTATATCAATCTTCTCCATGATGGTGTTAGTATGATATTATATATATAAATGTAATTAATAAGCTATTTATATTATTGTTTTCAATTCATGCACTCAATCATACATTCATACAATTAACTACTTGCACTCTCTATAGACACTCGTGTCAATACTCATTCACTATATGATATTTACAATACATGTATTATCTAAATTGACTAGCAACTATCAACAATTATGATTGAATTAGTTTAATTACAGCAAATAATTCATTTAATTGTATATACATGCAAAAAAACACCCATATATAATAGTTTGATAATATTTACATCATCCTAACCGTTTAGATGCATTGGTGTACTTTTCAACATTAGACAAAATCAGTATATTTATTTCAGAAGGTAAGTCAGTACTTCCAGATGTCAAAAGTTGAACATTGAAGTATCCAGCTCTGGTATACATGTAGATATCATGGATTAAGTTCCTGGAATTAGAGTAATTTGGACAAGTGAAGAAGAAGTGTTCAGAATTTTCAATTGGATGACCACATGAACAGGAATCGAAGAATCATGAGAAAGATGGCCAGGAAATTTGTCATAATTTAAGTCACTGGCATTATTTCTAAGTTGGCAGAGGATAACATTTAACTTTCTAGGGCTACAATTTAGAAAAACAGAAGTAATATTTACAAGAAGGATTCTTTCATTATTCAATTTAGATTTGAATATATTTAATGATGGTGCTGAGATTATTTCAGAATCAAGCGAATTCCATATTCTCATGACATCTGGAAAAAAACTATTGCCAAATAAATTAGATCTAAAGCGAGGGATATTAAAAAATCTGTGTTGTCTAAGATTATTAGGTGGAACAGCATCATTAATATAAGGTTTAACAATGTCATGTAAATATTCTGGTGTCATATGATTTAGGATTTTAAACATTAAAATAAGTTTGTGCTTATGATGCCTAGAAGAGAGCAGTTCAAACCCAGTTTTAGAATATAGTTTCTGATGTGATGTTCCACTTCGTAATCCAGTTATTATTTTCATGGCCTCAATTTGTACAGATTCTAATAATTTCGCTTTGCCAATAGTGCAATTGTTCCAAATAACATCTGCATACTCAAGAATAGGTCTTACATAAGAATAATATATTGTTATTAAAGCATTTCTGTCAACTTTGTATTTGAGTATTCTTAAAATATTCAATCTTTGCATGCTTTTTCATAGATTTCTTGGACGTGATTACTCCATGAACCTTTGGAATTGAATAAAAGACCTAAGTGTTTATGATTAGTAATTTATTTACTATTTGATTGTCAAAGAGAAGTGGAGGGTGATTTTTTTTTTGTGACAGTTAATGCAACAGTTTTATCTGGATTAAATTTAATTTTCCATTGGTTAGCCCATGGCCAATTACTAATAGAGTCAAGATCTTCATTTAGATCCATACATGGAGCAACCACATCTTCATCAACAATTACATGTAATGACGTATCATCGACGAATAATTTAATATGAGTATGAATTTCATTAGTTATATCATTAATGAGCAGTAAGAAAAAAAATGGGCCAAGTGTAGACCCTTGAGGAACACCAGCAGTAATATTTTTGAAACTAGAAGAATATCCTTCATAAACCACTCTTTGTTTCCTATCCGACAGATAATTTTCAAACCAGTTATACAGATTCCCCTTAATTCCATATTTCTTAAGTTTATACAATAAACCTTTATGCCCTACTCTGTCAAATGCCTTACTTATGTCACAAAATACCAGTCTAATGTCTTTTCCTTCATCAAGATTTTTTGAGATAATATTATACAGGGATAGTAATTGGTTAACTGTTGAATCAGATTCAGATTGATGTTCACTTATTATATGATATTTAGTAACATGATTAAATAAACACTTAAATGACCTCATGATCAGCTGTTGATAGGATGTTAAACAATATTAAACCAAATCAAGCCAGTAAACTTATTTCGTAACAAAATTGTCACTTTCTATTGTAACTACATTGTATTTTTTAATTTGGTGGAAGATTTTTTTCCTGGAGGTGCTTGCCCACTTAGTATATATAGCAAACCATGAAAGAAATGTACTTATTATTATTAATTTTTTTTTTCAATAACATCTTGCCTTCACTTCTCCACTGGGATTCAATCCCTGCACCTCTTGATTATAAAAGAAGGAAGCTTATCCACAGTTCTACTGGCATATACCTTTGATTTTGTTATTACCTACTCAAGGTGTGCAGAGAACATAAGTGAGAGTAATTATATAACACCTGGAGTAAAATCGAGGAATTATTACTATCACCAAATTTCAAGTCTGTGAGTTTGTTATAGTTGAGTTCATCTTCAAGGTATACGTAGCTAGTAAAAATATAAAGTCACACAAGATGAGATTTTTTTGGCATTATCAAGGGTCACTTGAAATAACCATTACTCTCAAATGTCTTAACGTGGATGAAGCAGCTTTTTTTTTTTAATTACAGAGCTTCAATCATATAATTGTCAAATTATTTATATTATATGCATAATAATACTTTATTTGTATTTTTTGAGTCTGGTATAGAGGGCTTATGTATAAGCCCTGAACCAGAAATAAACTTGTCTATCTTATGCCTCACAGATATAGGTTTTCTTAATAACTTTAAAAAAATATTAAATTTTGACAAAAGAGGTTGTTTCCTTTAATTACATTTGCCCTTTCTCTTTCTTTTGCAGCTTTAAATCAATTTTGACAGACAGTTGAAAAAATGCCGAAAAAATTCAAAGGAGAAAATTCCAAGGCCGTTGGGGCAAAGGCAAGGAAAGCAGCTGTTCAACACGCAGAGAAAGAGAAAAAGGACCAAGCATTAGAAGATGAATATTGGAGAGACGATGATAAACTTAACGCAAAGAAATTACAACGGAAGGTTAGGAATATATTCACTTCAGAGAGATACCTGGGCATACATCTTTTTTAAAGTAATACGGAAACCATGCATGCCAGAAGTCATGAAATCATTCAGGTTTAGCGATCGTACATAATCAAATTCATCTTCATTGATTTAAATGCCATAGCTTGGTTATGTTTTTTTTTGTAATACTCGTTGGTTATCTGAGTGTACCTTTGTCCTATACACATTTTTTCTGAAATAGTCTGAAATATTTTACTCTAGCTTCCTGGTGTACAGAAACAGACATACATTTGTATTCAGACTAACTTTAAGTGCATACAATAAGGGACGGTATTTTAGACTAATTGTACCTTTGTACAGATAGAAAGAGTATTTTGGACTTTATGTAAACCTGTGTATAGTAGTAATAGATATGTTTCAGACTTTGTACGGTAAAAGCAAGAAATTTCAGATTATATGTATGCAGTAGAGTAAGTAATTTCAGACTAGTTAATATACCAATACATGATATTGTTTTATTGTATTGTATAGAAATGGAGTCAATCCCTGAGATTCAATGCGATATAAACTGATATAATTGAATGTGCAGGATGATAAAGAAAAGAAACGGATGGAGCAATTGGAAAGAAAAAAGGAGTTACAGAAATTGCACGATGAAGAGATGGAGGGCATGAAGTCAAAAGTTAGCTCAGGAGGGAGTTCAAAGGTTACAAGGGCTCAAATAGAAGACCAGATTGTAACGGAGAAGAGAATAGCAGATGGTATGTTTGATGTGTTCTCTGACAGATAATTAGTTAAGGTATATGTTGTTTCTCTCAGTCATTTGTACCTTATTGTAGTTTAAAAATGTGTCATGTATTTTTCTGGCTGTACATCTCCAACTGAGGTAGATTATAAGCTAGTCTGGGTCGGGTGCTACACGGTCTGCTCTGTAACATTCAAATGGGGTGGTATTATGAAAAATAGAAATGCTGTTAGAAGCACAGTTCTACAATGGCCACAAAACAGTTCACTAAATATATAGTGACATTTTAGGGTGAATTTGGGACCTTACAAAGTCCCCTGCCCCTAAGTTGTTTCTGTATTAACCCAAAATAAATGCAAAAATCACAAGGCACAGACCCCTGTGGAAAGAACTTTAGTAGAAAAATCACAATGCCTCCATATAGCCAGCATTCATGCTAGCATATAAATATAAAAAGGAACACAATTATTTGGTGGAATTAAAAATGGTGGGGTATGGCTAGTTGTTACCCCTCAGTAAAGCATCTCTCGTGGAAGCCTCATATTGTATTAATATTGATATTACTTGAATTGTACAAAACATATTGAATGAATTTTATAAAAGTTATTGTGCTACATCAAATGAGGTAGAATATGTTGTAGAATAATATATGATGTTTTTCCAATTATGGTTATGTCTCATGAAATTATTCCACATAGGTGTCCAGTTTGACTTTGAAATTTAGAGTGACCATGTATTTGGACAGCAAAAACGATAAGCAGATGTAGATCATTTTACTGATAAAAACACAGCTTTGGTAAGATTAAGTACATAATTAAAAAAACAAAACATTATTGCAGCATAAGTAAGAAGGGTTTTTAGGTCATCTGAGACAAAGTCTCAAGTGACCTATTGCGATCGCCTTTTGTCCGCCGTCGTACGTCGTGCGTCTGTAAACAATTTACATTTTCGACTTCTTCTCCAAAACCCCTGAACCAATTTCAATTAAATTTGGCAGGTACCTTCCATGGACAAAGTTCAACAAAAATAGCGGCCGGTTTAGTCCCAAGCCCCCAGGGGCCTGAGGGGCGGGGCCAAAAAGGGTCAAATTGACTAAAATTTCAAAAATCTTCTTCTGAAGACCAAGATATGGTAGAATCAAATACTCTTCATAGATGGAAGGGTCTTAAGGTGCTTTACCAAAATTGTCAATTTCATGACCCTGGGGTCTCACGTTTACCCCTGGGGAGGGGTTAAACTTTACTATAGTTTATATAGGGAAATCACATTTTGGACCAACATTTGTTTGATTTCCATTGGAAGTAATTCAATTTAGGTTAGCATTATCAGTATTAGGTAGCAGTTTGATAGTATGCACATANAGGAGGGGGGATTTATTATGGTTTATAATGGCAAATGATACTTTGAATATTACATGTTAATAACTTGATTGGAATTATAACCTTGAGTTGACAGTTTGATACTTTGAAAATTTTGAGCCAGCCCTACCCCCAAGGGCTGTAGGGTGGGGCCCAAAGGAGTCATGGTGCTACAATTTCTTCATTTTCCTTGTTTAGAATCAGAGGGGCTAGTTTCAAATACTTTTTAGTCTTAAATCTGTATGCTAGATATTGAATAAGGTGTTTTATTGTTTTTTGTCACTTTGAATAATATTTCTGTTCATGTTAAAAACAAAATCAACTCTCTGTATAAATATATCAGGTAACCGTTAAGGCCCATGGGCCTCTTGTTCAGTTCTCACAGTATTTTCTATTTTTGTTTTATTAAATTAGCTGCCACAGCAAAATCTAATGCTTTACCGGAAGAGGCACCGCTTGAGGATAATGTCAACAGACTGATTCCGACGGATGGAGAGGCTCGCAGTGTAGATGATGCCCTTTCAGTACTCAGGTAAGTGTCAGACTGGTAGTATGAGGGCTCAATATTGTTTCATTGCTGTTCTTTTCCTTAGCTCACCTGGTACAAAGTAGCTGTAAGCTTAACCCTTTCACGACTGCAGACCATTATGGAGTCATCCAGATCAATGCATGGAAGAGTTTACTAAAGTTACATAGGGGTGAAAGGGTTAAGCAATGTTGCTTTCTCTAACTGAGTTGGCTTCAACTTTTTCTTTTTTTTTAAAAATAATTACTACATGTACTTCTAAACCATCTATCTTGTCAATAGGCCATATGTTGAAATCTTTAAATTAAATCTAGACACAAGGCGTGTATAGTATGATATTTGCTTGCCTATGACTTGCTTTAATGAAAGATAATAGCTATCTTTAGATAAATTACCTATACTACAGGCATCAAATATGTTAAATTCTTTTCTCATTAAAGAAGTTTAAATGTATAAAAATCTTTTAAACCATTTTTGATAAACTTTGACTCATAGTAATTAATCGGCATACTAGGCTTCAGTTTCACATTAAAATCTTCAAAAGGTGTCTTCGGATGAAACATAAGGCCCAGAGTAATTCGAATTGGCCTGTTCCTTGCTAGGGAGATGGGCTATTATGTTTATTCAAATAAATGACTTGAACAATTATTAAAAATCTTCAAATTACTTCTTCTATATGAACTATATATGATGCATAGCTTGTTGAAAAGGATTATGAAGCTTTTAGAAATAATGCATTTAACTTACATTTAAGGTAACAGGGGTCAGGTGTATTTAAAACAGTAAATAAAATACTTGATGGCTACACCCTAAGGAAAGAAAGTTTAAACTATACAGGAGTTTTACTGTACCATATAGATCCGTCACAGAAAAACAAGGTATCCTTATAGAAAGTGAAAACTTGTACCGATCATAAAAAATGTATATATTTTTGTGTCCTGTCTTTCCTGTCTACTTTCTTTCTTTTTTACTTTCTCTTTCTGGCAGTGTCTCCCTGTCTTCTGTCTTCATATGACCCTTGCTCTTGCAAGACATTATTAAAATTAAATTTAATACCATATCAGGGGTACACCATCATGATTACCAGTGCAAGATTATTATAGTAAATGGAATATGTATTATTGTGTGTGTTTTTATCTGTAAGTAAGTAAGTTATCTTGTCACATGTGCTTGACCTTTTGCAACTGTACAGGTAATAGTATTTCAGTATTTAATACTATGATCCTTAGACTCCTGAAATTAATGTATTTTGTTATCAATTATAAGTGTGCCAGATCATTAGTGTAGATATAGAATTTCTGAAATATATATGAATTAAGTAACTTGACTTTAATATTTTCAGTGTGAAAGAACCAGAAATTGATATACATCCGGAGAAGAGGGTCAAAGCTGCTTACCAAAAATACGAAGACGAACGTTTACCACAGCTCAAAAAGGAGAACCCAAATTTAAGACTTTCACAATTAAAACAAATGTTACGAAAAGATTGGATGAAGTCTCCAGAAAACCCTTTGAATCAAAGGCTGATGCAATCGTAGCTAGGAGTATAATATCTATGAAGATTCGTTTGGTGATCAGCTAGTGTCAAGCTATACGAATCAGTCAGTACAGATTGTCGGTTTGTCAACATCCAACACATGCAGGCAGAACACATGCAGGTTTGTCAACATCCAACACATGCAGGCAGAACACTTGCAGTTCAGTCTAAAATCCAGTGACTATCTGTTAGTAAGAGTCTGGGTTCTTCATAGTGGGGATTGTGATGCTCTGTTATAGTTTCGCTGGAAGTGGATCAATGTTTGGTGCAACAGAGTCCGACATCATTAAATATGACTGGTAAAAATGAGACACGTATTTGATGGAAGGGAGATCGATGTGATGCTAGAAGACTTTCTATTCTAATTGTTTGACATTGATCGTGTCAGTCTTCTGTTAACATACACATATTTTAACTATTCAGTGAATTGTGTTGTTCTACATTTCCTCAGTGAATATGAATTAGATATTATAATATGTTAATTGAATGAGAACATATTTCATGGTTTTTTTCTGTGTTCAAGGATAACACACATATTGATTTGTTAATGTTAACCCAGGTGTTGTAAAACAATTTAAAATTCTTCCATTTTGTTTTACCAGATAAATGAAGGATATTTTGTTGTAAGCATTTCGTCCATGTAAACCCCGTATAAAAGTGCTAGATACGTTGTTTAATACAAATTTATTTATACATGTATCCAGTTTGTGAATTTATTTTTTCATTAGTTGCCACATTGAGAGTGTAATTTCTTCATATGTAAATGCAAGCCATGTTTTTGTATTATAGCAGTGGGACACTGGCAAATATGTTCAGCCAGATGTAAGGGAGGTAATCCATTTGTCCTTCGCTATAACACATGGGCTGCCATCACTTATCACATGCACTCTCTGTAGATCTTCCTGACTTTACCCCAGAAATGTTTATGTACATTCGAGTATCCCGGTTGAAACGGTTCAGGTGGCGCAGAAATATTTCACGATAAACAAACACACTTGGACCCAACTGTATTCAAAGCTAAAAAATGCACTATTTCGGAGAATATAAAACAATATATATAAAGAATGATATTTCCTTCTTTCACAAGTCCACTAAATTATATTATGTATCTTAAAATCTGCATCTGGATTGACTTTGTTTTATAATGAAATAATGCAAACTAGCAATAGTCAGCAATTTGGTTTCGGCCAGGCACGTCTAAACCCCTCAATCATCATGTGCCGAATATTCCTGAGTTCAGCCTCGGTTCAGATTTGAGCCTGTCGTTTCCTTTCAGGTTCAACCATTTCAACTGGTTGGCCTGGATACGCGAAAGGGGCCATGTACGTTAACTAAGTGAGGATGAACCCAAATGGATCACTCTTTACAAAAGTACAACAATTCATGTTTTATGATTTATTTCAACTAGCATCAGTAAATGCATTTCAAACTAAGAAAATAGTCTTTGTTTGCGTCATTAAATTTATTAAATCTAGTGCATAAAGGGACTATGCCTTCTGATTCAGACAATAGGATCTAATGTCCAAGTCTCAATTCCTACTTACTTATATATTCCATTACCGTTACCAAGTGTTACTGCAGTCTATAATTATTTGGGTCATTAAATAAGCTAAAAAAGTAAAACAAAAGCAAATCAACTCCTTGTTTAGTTTAGAAAACTAAAGACAGCTAAGCGAAGCAGGCCCGATTACATAAGAACTATTATAATTATAACTGGGGACTACTTCACAAAGGAACTACTTTTTTTATTTGGATGATTTTGGACAGTATACATTGATGAATGCTTTACCTCGATAACATTTGCATTTAAAGATAAACCTAATTTTACACATTCTCTTCTGTTACTGAAACGTCATTTAATTTATCCATGTTATGGCTAAAACGTCATGTGTTCATCATGATATACATTTTGGATGTGTATTTTTGTTAGTAAGACATAATCTGATACACTGTATAGCGATACAATAAACTAACATGTAAGAAAGTGTGAGATTGCTTCAGGTATATTATATTTTTGAAATTCTTGAGACAAGAATGTTACCATGTTTCAGTATTATAATATTTGAAACAAACAGACATCATTGCAGAAATCAAATATATTTATTAGTTTTTGGTATCTTTGTACATGTATTTCATTTTTAATAGTATAACTCAATTTGTTGAACTGTTAAAGTAGCAATGAAAAAGAATACAACCTTTTTTTTGGACATTATTCATAAATAAAAGCTGTTACTTATTTTAGTGTCAGGTGTTAAGTTTTATGGTAGCTCATATTCTACAACAAAATGTTTACACAATATTTAGGTATCGTAAACTGTTCAGTAAAAAATCCAATCATATAAGCACTGTCACTACATTTCATTGTTTTCTGCATACATTTTATTTCAATTTGCATTATCTTACATAAACGAATTCCTCTGCCCATATACAGCATGCATACATTTGCATTTCTTCAAATTTTTCCAATATAGAAAACTTCCTATCTACTGTACATCCTTAAATGACCTTAGCTGTTGATAGGATGTTAAACCCTGTATAACCAACCCTATCTACTGTATTGTTTTAGAATGATATATGTGTTTCTAGTGTGTCTGATTATATCATTGTACAGTAAAACATCATTATAAAACATTTAGATTTTTCTAAGACCTGTTTACCATTTTAGATTACCGGACAGGTAGTTTCCGCGGTTACATTTTTATGCTTTTTCAAATAACTTATTACGATATCTCTGTTTTTGGTCATGTGATATTTTAAAATACTATGTGAGCTTATGGTGTGGGACATCGTCTGTCGTCCATCAATTTTTCTTTTAAAACACTATTAGTCCCGAGCAGTGATTGTGGATTTTGAATAAATTTTATTTGGAATATACTTAAGCAAAATGATTGTGTTGCTTCCCTTGTGTCAGAGGAGTGGGCCCAAGAGGGGGAAGAGAGGAAAATCTGAAAGTATATCCTTCCATATTGATATAAATCAAATTTAGTCAAAAACACCTTTGGGCAAAGGGGAGTGCGTTTGTTGGGAAATGTATATAGACAAATACATTTATCTATAAAAGTATAAAAGATAAGATATTATCAAGTGCTATCAGCTGTTGGTAACACTTCTCTAACATTCAATGATACAATGTATACATGCTTCTAATAAACGTTTTGTTTTCACTAACTACATATTTCTCATTTATTCATATTTTTATTTCTTCCGAAGTATGAAGAGTACACCAGGTATGAAAAGAAAGAGTGCAAGTGAGACAAAACAAATGGTGTAAACTAAAATTGACATGCAATTGAGATTAAGTATCAGTTCTTAGCACAATTCTATAAATAGACAGCTAATCAGCCATTAATAAAAGGGGAACGACATGACCAACATTGCAATGCCTGCTACAAATTTAGCATTTCAAAACCTACCATTTACTGGAGAGTTAATAGTGAACGCCTCATAACTGACTTGAGTGATTTAACTTAGCAGGAAAGGCATCACAAATGGGAGCGCTTGGAGCACCCAGCAGAGCATAGCCATCTGGACTCCTACGTACAATAAGTAGAAAGAGTATCCCGCAAAGCTGCTAACTATTACTTTCTGCATTCTGATATATAATTGGCGACTGCGTCTTCAAATGTTCGCAATCGGGTTGGATGACACTTTGAAAAATATAAATACCAGATCATTGAGGGTTTCATTTCAGGATGAAGACTTTTGAATCTTGCAAACTTGGGCAAATAATCTAAACGAGATTGAAGAACATTTTTGATATGTATTTCCAACGTAAAGAAACCATTTCAAACGTCATGACAATTGTACTTCAATACTATATTTTACGTATCAACAATAAAACGCTTTTCAGCTTTATGTTCACAAAAGTTTGTTTTGATACAATCACAATAATAAGGGCAAATAATCTAAACGAGATTGAAGAACATTTTTGATATGTATTTCCAACGTAAAGAAACCATTTAAAACGTCATGACAATTGTACTTCAATATTATATTTTATGTATCAACAATAAAACGCTTTTCAGCTTTATGTACACAAAAGTTTGTTTTGATACAATCACAATAAAACAGTTCATTATATGTACAATTTGTTTAGTTCTACATAATGCAAAAAAAAAAAACCCGAACAAAAAACGAAGCTTACATTGTTCAACATATAAATGAAGCGAATGCCATGTCTCATCTAGTCATCAGAGAGAAAGAGAAATTCTGAATTAATATGGCGCACAAGTGATGAACCAATTCCAGGCGATGCCAATCGTAGTTTACAAGTGAGTACAACAGCTCACAAGCAAAACATGCTTGGTAGTTTTATTCCTGTTAACGGATTGACACCGAGACACCAAATAAATTCCATGAACAAAACACTGATCACAATTTGTGGGTAACCTCGTCGACGTCAGGGCGACATGGTTTAAACTTATTTAAACTTATTCCAACATGTTTAACGCTTGTACAATCCGTTTCTTTGTTGTCACCCAAGTATCACTTATGGATCGACTGAAGGTGGCTATTTGTTCATTCGTTAAAGACAACTTTTAAGGGTTGTATTTAAACACCAATAATCAGCTAACATTACAACATACACTTACGTTTATGAACACATCTTAAAAGTGTTCAGTAAAGTGCAAGAAGACATGCATCGTCTGTGACTCTAGATCGAAATTTTAGAACCTTCTAGAAACGATGTTCTGTAGATACTGATGAGTCGTGAGTAATATCTGTCATTCCACTGGATTGCAGGGACATAGTTGACGAGGTGTTCATTCTCTTTTTGCAAAACATGCGTATGACTCTGGCATTCACGACAAAACCCAAAAAGAGGAGGAAACCTTGCAAGCCATTCAAACAAATATTCAGATATTGAAATGGTTTTGTGTTGACGCCTGCAGCTACTAATCCCAATATCCAAGTGCCTCCCAGCAATATTGATATCTTTGTGTATATGATGCAATAGTTTCTTTCTTGCTTTTTATTTCGAACATTTTTTGCAGTTTTATTGGTTCCGTGGATGCCGTGAAGGGATATCCCGAAGCAAATCACGTTAAAGAACAGACACGATGCAACTGGTAGACCAAAAACAAAAAGCGATGCCATCGTGTTTCTGATCCAGCAGTACCCGCCACCAACAGAGCCATACTCCACAAACTTGTCACGTCTACTGTTAAAGTCAACCACTACACAGCCAATCACCAGTAACATAGGTAGACCGTGCGACACGAAAACATATTTTTTGAATTGAGAAGTAGAGGTTTTTGAAGTCATCATTGTTTTAGCACTGAATTTACTCGCCAAGTCAAACGCCATTGTACTGGTCCACGTAAAAGTACAAAGCCAAAAGTAATGCTGGGAGATTGCAATTATCACACACAATGTCCCTGGAACATACGAGCCGAATAGAAACAAGGTTTGTGCAATTAAAAGTGATGTTGAAAATGCCATTAAGTTTTTGCCGTGTACAGTACGAAGGGATGGAAAGGCGTAATACGTCACAAGCAGAGCACACAAGGATATGATTGACAACGTTATAGTTACGACTGTTAGAATTTGCATCACTGCATCGACTTCCTCTGGGGTTCCCAGGGCCGTCAGGTTGTCGCAGACATAAAGGATATCTTTTATCAAATTGAAAATCGTAACAATCTCGTTAATGTTGTTGATGGACGCCGTTGAATTTTCTATTTCATACTCATTTGCTGTGTATGATAGCAGTTTGCATTTTAGGGATATCCCGTCCTTGCACAATCCCAGGAACGTTAAGAGTGGCTGTTTATTTGCCGTAATCAAAAGATGGAATCGGGTGCTATCTAAGCTAATGGTTACGTTCGAGCTGCGTGGTCTGAGGTACAAATGTGTACTGTTATCGATGAAAACAAAATCGGATTCTGTATAACGAGTGATATTTGTACTGATGCACCGTAATGCCTTTTTGTGCTCTACATTGCTTATTTCAGCTCTCATTTCAGGGTACACTTGAATGAACTGTTGCATTGTGTCTTGTGTTTCGTCAACCACAGCCTTTAGTTCTTGCTTTGTACTTGCGTTAACAATCACGCGGTAGTCCATTAGTTTTTCCCCGAGGACTAATTTGAAATCTGTAATTTTTTCAACGCCTGAATTTGCCAAACTTTTACTCAATTGTTGTAGTACGTTCTGAATGGAAGCTTTCGAATAATTTCCTCCGCTGATGCTGATGTCGATATTCACCTGATATTCTCTCTTTCCATTCAAATCTAAGGGAACGTTGCTGGTGTTACTGTAGAATGCAAATTTGTCATCAATGCATTTTCCGTAACTTGGTACGTAGTTTTTAGGACAATGAAGTGTATGACATCCCCATTTATCGGGATACCATACCTTAGTTTCTGAGCAATTCGTTTGTTCCGATGAATACCAAGCCCCAGTCGTGGGGTTAAAATTAAAAAGAATATTTAATCCTATCTTTTGAATGTGTTCGGGAATTAACGAACCTTCTTTGTATACATTACAAGTCAATTCGGAAGCATTGCTATTAGAACAGAGCGCACAGTGAGGATTTTTATAAAGTGAAGAACTGGATACTGGCGCCATGTAGGCTTTACAAACGGTCGCGAGTGTGGTATTTACTTCCGGTTCAGTCTTGTCACAATCTAAAGGAGAGTTATTACGGTGTAGTGGACACTGTCGGACCTCACCTCCATTAGGAGGTGGTTTCATATAGAAGTGACATTCTCCCTTTAATGCTTTGGTGAGGTCTTCCGCAGTCTTAGACAGTGTGGTTTCAGGGCACAATGCTGACACGGTCCACGAAACTACTTCCGATTCTTTGTATCCGTAACACAATGCACACACACTATTCTTGAACACAATTTGTATAGATGCATTGGTACGTAGAGAAACGGGGATATTTTCTACAGGGGGCATTGTACCGGATTCACAGCCGGTCCTTATTTCATTATCAACATGTGCCATGGGACATGTTGAAATTACTCTATATGCCTTATCATCTGTGCCATTATGAATATGTATACAGATGCTGTCTCGCATAAATGTTGTCAAAATATTAATATGCTGGGAGTCTTTCACATTTTTCATATACCATTCGTAAGGGTTCTCCATTGCTTCCATTATGTTAACGTTGATTCTAGACACTTTGCGAGAGTACCAGTCAACACAACAATCTCCAAATAAACCACACTCATTATCACAATGACATACGTCATTGTTTCTGTCTGGCATGGAACACAACTGGTCCAAATGGCACGTAACGTTTAAACCAAAAAAGAAAAAGTTGGAACGTCTTGAAGGCGCTTGTTCTTTGTCACTGGCGCCGCTAGAGGAGTTGGTTGGATCATTTTCGTTGCATTCAAGCTTACACATGATGTCGGAGGGAAATGATTTATCCTTGGCATCTTCATCCGAGTCCTCTTGTTCTGCACCACTCCAGTCAACTGGAAACAATGCAACTTTGTATCAAATGTCTATTTTTGATAGAAAGTATATATGCAAAACATGTATGTCAAATAAGATTATGTTATTTCTTGTTCCTTTAAAATCGTTCATATAGTACTATGAAATTGTTGTGATCTAAAGTCTTGCATGCATTTTCAGGAACTATGGTCTGCATATATTCCAAGTATTTAAACAAGAATAATCCTCCAATAAGCGACAGTACTATAGTTGATATCATACTAATACCAACCAGTATCTACTGAGTGATGTTAATGTCTCACCACTTTTATTCTGCGCACAGGATTTTAAATGTATTTCCTTGTTATAATATGATTCCTGTATAATATCCGAAGTTATAGTGTTATTGACCAGCCGTAGTAAATGCGTCCTTTTAGATCAAAGCAGATTAATGCTTAACTATTGCTCACAGATCTATTTAAAGCATTAGTTATTTACAACTAAATTATGACATTAAATATGGAGAACTATTATATCGGTCTACACAAAAACAATGAGAACAAATATTAGTAATGCATGTATAACAATATGTGGCATTTTGATATCTCAATCGGACATATCGGACTAACGCTAACCGATAAGGTTACTGTGTGAAACCTAGTGCTGCATGCGATAACTGTGTGATAGTAAAGTTATGTGGGGCTCAATACTATGCCTGTATATCTGCATAGTGTAAATGTATTGGAACTAACACGTAACATACAAATATACATCTATGAA